AAAAAAAAAAAAGACAAAAGAAAAGTCAAAGCGATGAAAACATTTTACATTTCACTCAGAAATACTCATATGTTCTACTAGGATATAAACTGGTTAATAGTTTTTGAAAGCAATAAACTAAGTACTTTTTTTTAAGATGAAGTCTTGCTCTGTTGCCAGGCTGGAGTGCAGTGGTGCGATCTCGGCTCACTGCAACCTCTGCCTCCCAGGTTCAAGCTATTCCCCTGCCTCAGTCTCCCAAGTAGGTAGGACTACAGGCACGCACCACCATGCCCAGCTAGTTTTTTGTATTTTTTTTTTGAGATGGGGTTTCAACATGTTGGCCAGGATGGTCTCGATCTCCTGACCTTGTGTTCCTCCCAAACTGCTGGGATTACAGGCATGAGCCACCGCACCCAGCCTAAACTACGTTGTCGTCATTGTTGTTGTTGAGACAGAATCTTGCTCTGTCACCCAGGCTGGAGTGCAATGGTGGGATCTCAGCTCACTGCAACCTCCACCTCCCGGGTCCAAGCAATTCTCCTGCCTCAGCCTCCTGAGTAGCTGGGATCACAGGCGTCCGCCACCACACCCAGCTAATTTTCGTATTTTCAGTAGAGACAGGGTTTCACCACATTGGCCAGGCTGGTCTCAAACTCCTGACCTCGGGTATCTACCCACCTCGGCCTCCCAAAGTGCTGGGATTACAGGCGTAAGCCACAGTGCCCGGCCTTAAACTAAGTATTATAGGGAGTTTTCATATTCATTTATTACTACTAATTAGCTACAAAAGGACATCAACAGGCAAAGGCCTTCCATCTATTGCAAGTGACATAAGGATTTTTGTTCAATAGTACTCTGAACATTAAAACTGTCAACTCAATATTCATTTATTATTATCTTAATAATAATGGGCACTATCAAAGCAGTTAGAGGAGATAACAAAAGACAGTTTTGCTACAGATGCCAGACAAATCGTTTTATATCTTTCTCCTATCATATATTCCTTAAATTCCTACCTCAACTTTTATAAATTTTTTATAAATCAACTTCATTTTTATCACTCAATTTCAGTAAAAATTTTAAAACTCCTTCATAAAGGCACTCAACTCACACAATGTTAAACTTACCTGCTTCCAAATAAGGTTCACTCTTTTCAAAATACTCTGGTGCTATCTGTTTGAGCACAGTGTGAAAAAAATGAATATAAGGTAGTTTGCTGATCAAAACCAAGGACTGAGGGAAAAAAAAAGAAACAATGTTTTAAAAGTTGCTTTGCCATTCGTTTCTTACATAAGCAATTACTGACAAGCTAAATTCAGCAAAAAGTGTGGATTTTAAAATAAAAAAGGTTTTACAGTGGATAGTTAAAAGAATAAAACCATAGCTGCAAAATACAAAAAGTTTAACTTTACTACTACACTTTAAGAGCATAAAGGCAGGTTAACATATGTTCCTGCCCTTCAAAAAAAAAAAAAAAAAAAAAAAAAAAAAAAAAAAAAAAAAAAAAAAAAAAAAGAAAAAGAAAAAAAAAAAAAAAAAAAAAAAAAAAAAACTAATGCCATGAGTAACTTCGAAAGCCTAGCTGCTGTTATCCTTACAATAGCAATATCAAGAATTAGCCAGGAGAGGAGACCAGAGGCTGAACTCGGGTTCTGACAAGATGGCCGGGCTGCCCCACAGGATCATCAAGGAAATCCAGCGTTTGCTGGCAGAACCAGTTCCTAGCATCAAAGCAGAACCAGATGAGAGCAACGCCTGTTATTTTCATGTGGTCATTGCTGGCCCTCAGGATTCCCCCTTTGAGGGAGGAATTTTTAAACTTGAACTATTCCTTCCAGAAGAATACCCAATGGCAGCTCCTATGTACGTTTCATGACCAAAATTCATCATCCTAATGTAGACAAGTTGGGAAGAATGTGTTTAGATATTTTGAAAGATAAGTGGTCCCCAGCACTGCAGATTCGCACAGTTCTGCTATCGATCCAGACAAGTTGGGAAGAATGTGTTTAGATATTCTGAAAGATAAGTGGTCCCCAGCACTGCAGATTCGCACAGTTCTGCTATCGATCCAGGCCTTGTTAAGTGCTCCTAATCCAGATGATCCATTAGCAAATGATGTAGCGAAGCCCAACGAAGCCCAAGCCATAGAAACAGCTAGAGCATGGACTAGGCTATATGCCATGAATAATATTTAAATTGATCTGATCAACAAGTGTGCATCACTTCTCCTGTTCTGCCAAGACTTCTTCCTTTTTGTTTGCATTTAATGGACACAGTCTTAGAAATATTACAGAATAAAAAAGCCCAGACATCTTCAGTCCTTTGGTGATTAAATGCTTTACAATTAGCAAATCTATGTCTTGTCCTGATTCACTGTCGTAAAGCATGAGCAGAGGCTAGAAGTATCATCTGGATTATTGTGAAAGATTTAAAAGCAGCGGCCCCTTCCTGCTTTTACTCATTTCCCCAATCCTGCTTTAAGTATAAAGCACTGTGAATGAAGGTAGTTGTCAGGTTAGCTGCAGGGGTGTGGGTGTTTTTCTTTATTTTTTTGAGGGGGGAGGTAGTTTTATTTTAATTTTATGGGCTCCTTTCCCCCTTTTATGGTGATCTAACTGCATTGGTTAAAAGCAGCTATCCAGTTATTTAGAATATGCTCTCTAGCCAAGTCTAACTTTATTTAGATGCTGTAGATGGACAAGCTTGATTGTTTGAACCAAAATGGGAACCTTAAACAAACATCACAGCCCTCACTAATAACATTGTGACTTTGCTGTCAAGTGTAGATTCTCCCCTTCAAAAAAAGCTTGTGGTGCCAGGCGCGGTGGCTCACGCCTGTAATCCCAGCAGTTTGGGAGGCCGAGGCGGGTGGATCACAAGGTCAAGAGATCGAGACCATCCTGGTCAACATGGTGAAACCCCATCTCTACTAAAAATACAAAAAATTAGCTGGGCATGGTGGCACATGCCTGTAACCCCAGCTACTCAGGAGGCTGAGGCAGGAGAATTGCCTGAACCCAGGAGGCGGAGGTTGCGGTGAGCCGAGATCGCGCCATTGCACTCCAGCCTGGGTAACAAGAGCGAAACTCTGTCTAAAAAAAAAAAAAAAAAAAAAAAGCTTGCGGCCATTTTGTATGGCTTGTCTGGAAACTTTTGTAAATCTTATGTTTTAGTAAAATATTTTTTTTGTTATCCTACATACACACACACACACACACACACACACACACACACACACAAAAGAATTAGCCATATGAACTTTTTCCATTAAAGAAACAGCAGGCTGGGTGTGGTGGCTCACACTGTAATCCCAGCACTTTGGGAGGCCAAGGTGGGCAGATCACCTAGGTCAGGAGTTCAAGACCAGCCTGACCAACATGGAGAAACCGTGTCTCTACTAAACATATAAAATTACCCTGGTGTGGTGGCGCATGCCTGTAATCCCAGCTACTTGAGAGGGAGGCTGAGGTAGGAGAACTGCTTGAATCCCGGAGTTGGAAACTGCAGTGAACCAAGATCATGCCTCTCCAGCCTGGGCAACAAGAGCAAAACTCCCATCTCAAAAAAAAAAAAAAGAAAATTTTGAACTTTTCCAAAAGACTTATGAGTTGTATTTTACAGTTCAACTGTCACAGTCACATAGCTAGAAATTGTAACTTTATAGTTTGATCATTTCAGATATAAATTATGCTAATTTTTATACTTTTTTTTTTTCCCCTTAAAAACCACTGTTTATCTTTCTAACACCAATTAGTGGTCAGGGCAAATTCTGAGCACAAAAAGAAAAGGTGTGTCTTGCTAGCTGGGATTAAACAGAACAGATTATTTTCTCTTATTTATTTATTTATTTATTTATTTTTTTTGAGACAAGGTCTCACTCTGTAGTGAGTCTTAGGCTGTAGTGTAATGGTGTGATCATGGCTCACTGATGCCTCAGCCTCTTGGGCTCTCAGGTGATCCTCCCACCTCAGCCTCCTGAGTAGCTGGGACTACAGATGTACTCCACCAAGTCTATTTTTTGGGGGGGAGGGGGGCGAGGGTGGATTTTTGGTAGAAATAGGGTTTTGCCATGTTGCCCAGGCTGGTCTCAAACTCCTGGGCTCAAGCAACCTGCCCACCTTGGCCTCCCAAAGTGCTGGGATTACAAGTGTGGGCCACTGTGACCTACCTGATTCTTTTTAAGAAACAAAAGGAATTATACATTTGGAATAGAAACAATAATGGCTAAGATGTTGCTAAAGTTTATTTATTGGCTCTTCAAAAAAGAATATAATAGTTCAGGCTTTTATTAGTTGTAACAATGTTACAATCTGTTTATTCCTTCCCTTATTCTAAAATGTCAAATTAAGCATACTCCTCTGGCTTTTGACAGAATCTCCTTCAGTAACTGTAACTTGCAGTCAGGAATCTGGCACAGAGAACAAAAATTCAATAGCAATTAAACATATAGAGACAGGTGTCTATAACTTTAAAAAAGAAGATAAAATATAAACCCAAGGCTGGGTGCAGTGCCTCACACCTGTAATCCCAGCACTTTGGGAGGTCAAGGTGGGTGGATCACCTGAAGTCAGGAGTTCGAGACCAGCCTGGCCAACATGGTGAAACTCTGTCTCTACTAAAAGTACAAAAATTAGCTGGGCATGGTGACGGAGCCTGTAATACCAGCTACTTGAACAGAGGGAGGCAGAGGTAGTGGTGAGCCAAGGTCGTGCTACTGCACTCCAGCCTGAGAGGCAAGAACAAAACTCCACCATATATATATATTTATATATATATGCTGGGCACAGTGGCTCACGCCTGTAATCCCAAATCCCAGCACTTTGGGAGGCTGAGGTGGGTAGATCATGAGGTCAGGAGTTCCAGACCAGCCTGGCCAAGATGGTGAAACTGTCTCTACTAAAAATACAAAAAATTTGGGCCGGGCGCGGTGGCTCAAGCCTGTAATCCCAGCACTGTGGGAGGCCGAGGCGGGTGGATCACGAGGTCAAGAGATCAAGACCATCCTGGTCAACATGGTGAAACCCCGTCTCTACTAAAAATACAAAAAATTAGCTGGGCATGGTGGCGCGTGCCTGTAATCCCAGCAACTCAGGAGGCTGGGGCAGGAGAATTGCCTGAACCCGGGAGGCGGAGGTTGCGGTGAGCCAAGATTGAGCCATTGCACTCCAGCCTGGGTAACAAGAGCAAAACTCCGTCTCAAAAAAAAAAAACAAAAAACAAAAAACAAAAAATTAGCCAGGTGTAGTGGCAGGAGCCTATAATCACAGTTACTCCGGAGGCTGAGGTAGAGAATTGCTTAAACTCAGGAGTCAGAGGTTGCAATTAGCCGAGATCATGCCACTGCACTGCAGCCTCGGTGACAGAGTAAGACTTCGTCTCAAAAAAAAAAAAAAAAAATATATATATATATATATATATATAAACATAAATACACACACAATATATATATATATACACACACAATATATATACATATATACACACATTATATATACACTCATATATATAAACCCAAGTATGTTTAAAGATAAAATACCAAAGACTTTAAAGACTCTTAAATCTGACTTTAAAGACTCTTAAATCTAACAGTTTTTATTTTTCTAATCACAAAATAAAAAAATACTTTTTTAGTAGTGTATATGACAATTACCTTCTGAAAGTAGCCTCTTTTTAGAGTTTTATCTCGAACTTGTCGGAAATACACATATCCATAAAAATAGGCAGGATCCTTCTATGAAGAAAGTGACAAGTTAATGTGTGTGGGAGTACATTATGTATGTGTTATCTGTATCTATATCCATATCTGTATCTTTTAATATTAACATCAGGTTCCTTTATAAACCCAAATCAAGACATGAGAAATACACAAAGAGCTAGTTATGCTTTTCCACCAACAAACAATAATCATGACAGCAACGTCCAGATCAGAACCTTGCAGCTCTAGACATGGTCCATATGATGTGTGCAAAAACTTAAAATTAAAACAGAAAAACCCTCCTAACTTGCCCAAAGATGGCAAAGTACTAATCACAAAGTACTAAAGTCAGATATTCCCCCTATAACTTACTCAGCTTACATTCTTTATTTGTATCTGTACTAGGTGAAAGTTAAAGAACAGTCAAATTCTGTTTTCCCCAATGTTATATTTAGTTTCTAAAAAATTCTACCTACAATTTTGAGATTGTCAAGGATAAGGAATCAATCTTTAAACAAAATGAGGTACCCTAACATACAATTTCAAGAGAGAAAATAAAAGGAGTTAAATGACAATCTGGATCTTCTATAGTCAGTTATACGTTAACCCAATAATATTGAAGCACCACAATGTTTATCAACATACAATCTGAAAGAAAATTGCATTCCAAAAATTTAAGAAGCATTTGCATCTTAATGGAATAAACTTTGGCTCAGTTCCTTATTTGATTATTACTCCTTAAGCAAATATATATTGACAACCTACTTTGAACAGGGTATTGTGTTAGAGATGATAAAAAGATGCATAAGACACAGTTCTTCCTCAAGGATATCATGATTTAGGAGGAATAAGAAAAGTACAAAAATGAGTATTATTGTAATAAAAGGGTGGGTACCATGAAAAAGCACACAGTGTAACAGGAAAGCCAAGGAGAAAGAATAAAGATTATACGGAGGCAGCTGTTTCTGAATTGGGCATTGAAGGATGGATATAACTTAAAGACAAAGGCATTCCAAGTTGAAAGGGCTAGGAGTTTCAGTAAAAACACAAAAGGACAGAAAAATACATGTTCTCTCAGGAAAAAATACATAGCTCAGTTTGACTAAAATATGGCACATATATGGCACACGTAGAAAGGAGATGAGGGTGAAATTTCGACAGAATAAAGGTCTTATTTTGGAAGGTCCAAATAGTGAGGACAAGGAAGTAGTACTATACCCCTTTACTAATTAAATAATTCATAGTCATTTTAGATTTTATTTTTATAATATATATGTACACTTTAGCTGGCAATACTATGTAAGACACATTGTGCTGGAATAAAACAAGAGATGGATATCCTTAGGTAAATTTTTTATCCTCAATAGCCCTCAATTCCCTCCTCTGCAAAAGGAACTCTCTTGGAGCACTGTAGGGAGGATTAACTAGATGATATATGCTTATTAATATAGTATCTAGAACACAAAAAGCCCTAACAAATAACAGCTATTATTATTATTGGTTGGAAGAATAAATTAGTAGTGATAGCAAGGAGGAGATGGCTCTAAGAAACACTTCACAGGTAGTATCTCTACTATTAAAGGAACCAGAGAAGTAAACTGTAAAAACTGTTATCAGGCAAATTAGTGGAACCCAGGGAAGTAAACTAGAAACTGTTATCAGGCAAATTATGTCAAAGTCACACTGAATATGCTGATATGGCATCCAAATGAAAATGCTCCTCATGTAGTTAAAGATGTAAACATGCAGTACCAAGAAGAAAAATTTAGACTCTAAGATTATCTGAATTATTAAAATGTTTTAAATAAATAACTATAAAACAAAACCCATTCAAAAATCAAAAAGAGACAACTATATGTTATCACCAAGAATGACTACCCTCAACTCTAGATGATATTTACTGTATAGTACAACTCCACTCCCACATCTAATTCAAGAATTTATTAACAAATGAAAGAAAATTACCTTAACATTCTAATCCTTTTCTTCTTTTTGAGACAGAGTCTCGCTCTGTCGCCCAAGACGGAGAGCAGTGGCATCGTGATCTCTGCTCACTGCAACCTCCGCCTATCAGGTGCAGTAATTCTCCTGCCTCAGCCTCCCAAGTAGCTGGGATTACAGGTGCCCGCCACCATTTTAATAAATCACAATGACGTTATATTTCAAGCATAGTAACTGTATAAAGTCTCTTTCATTCACATGCTGAATCCTTATGAATAAGACTCACTTAGGAAATTCAGTTACATAATATAGCAGCAAAACAAAAGCAAAATATTTCTGAATGGTATCAGAGGTAACTGAATAAATGAGTTCTAAAGTTTCCTCTCACACGGACATTTTTCTATGACTAGTTTTCCAACCTTTAAGTAAACTGGTAAATCTTTGTCAAATTGATCCAGGAGACAATGCAGAGACACCCTCCTCCCAGAAGACTGTCGGAATCTAAAACAAAACTGGGTATCTCCAAGACAACCTAATGAAAACAAAAATGAAAGAAATTAAGGATAGCTTAGTATAACATTTATCTAATTTCATCCATTTTAGAGCTGAAAAAAATCCTATCAACCATTTTAACCTATTCTGTCATGTTTTGGAGGGAAAAAAGGAAATCCTAAAAGTTCAAGTGATTTGCTCAAAGCCATCCTTGATGGTTAGAGGCAGAGTCAGAAGTAAAACATGCATCTTAACTCCTAAGTCTCTTTACTATTTTTCCTATTCCATATCCCTCATGTAATTAAAAGTTTTTGGAATATGGCTGCATATAATGTTGACTCGCAAACATAATAACGAGCAAAAGACACCAAACACAAAAGAACACATATTGTTCAAATCCACTTTTATAAAATGTTTTCAAAGTAGTGCTCAGGGATGCATGGCTGAATGATAAAAATATAAAGAAAAGTATTATTATAAGAAAGGATAGTGGTTACATTTGGAGGAAAGATTCACCTCAATTTCCTTGTCAACAAAACCAAAGAGTATTATAAGATAATCTCTAAAGTCACGTCCAGCAACAACATTTGAAGATTCTAAAATAAAATTCCACAACTTGACCTATGACTGTACTGAATTCCAAGCATCTTACCCAATATGCTCACTAAGAAAAATAAAGATCTGCATGATGCAAAAAGATATACAAGTTATGCTGTGAGCACCACAGCTGACGATTCACTTAAAGATAAAAAAATTTTTTATGACAACTGACTTTTATAAACAGTTATAAAAGTTAACTTATGTGAATTTTTTTTTTAGAAATGATTACAAATGATTTTATTTGTGGAATATATCAGAGCCTGACTTCAATTAATTACGAAAAACAGTAAGTATACCCAAAGCTCTGTGGCCTCGAACTGTCTGAGAACAGGGAACTATAATGCAAAGTTGAATATTTTTTGTTTTTTGAGACAGAGTCTACCTCTGTTGCCCAGGCTAGAGTACAGTGGCGGGATCTAAGCTCACTGCAATCTCCACCTCCTGGGTTCAAGAGATTCTCCTGCCTTAGCGTCCCGAGTAGCTAGGATTACAGGTGCATGCCACCACACCAAGCTAATTTTTTGTATTTTTAGTAGATACCGGATTTTGCCATGTTGCCCTGGCTGGTCTTGAACTCCTGGGCTCAAGTGATTCTCCCACCTCAGCCTCCCAAAGTGCTGGTATTATAGGCAAGAGCCACCATACCAGGCTTTAGAATGGCATTTCTATATTTGTACAAACACAGCTACAGAGTGGATCAAAATATATAAGACTAAGACAAAACATGAAGCTTCAAGAGCCAGCCCCCTCCCTTCCCCCCTCAGCTTATATAGTCCCTCTCTGTGATTAGGGTGGTTAAGCCGGATTGCTGAGAAACAGTAGTTTAGACCACAGTTTTTCACAGTTTATTCCATAGACTGATACCAGTCCATAAACTCTTGTTACTGTTCCATAACCAAATAAATATGCAAGTTGAGAATATATATTTAGAAACTTTCACAGCAACTTGATATTGCAGTAATAAATTTGGACTTTTAGGCCAGGCACAGTGGCTCACACCTGTAATCCCAGCCCTTTGGGAGGCCAAGGTGGGTGGATCACTTGAGGTCAGGAGTTTGAGACCAGCCTGGCCAACATGGTGAACCCTCTCTACTAAACATGGCCATCTCTACTAAAAACACAAAAATTAGTCAGGTGTGGTGGCAGGCGCCTGTAATTCCAGCTATTCAGGAGGCTGAGGCCAAAGAATTGCTTGAACCCAGGAGGCAGAGGTTGCAGTGAGCCAAGATCACAGCACTGCACTCTAGCCTAGGCAACACAGCAAGACCCTGTCTCAAAAAAAAAAAAAAAATTAGACTTTTATTTTATATTTCTTTGTTTTTTCCTTTTATTTTTCTAATAATTCAATTAAATTGTTTTACGAAAATATGGGTCCAAACAGACTAGAAATATTAAAAACCCCAACTGGTCCTTCAACATGGTATGAGAAGTGCTGCTTTAGCTACTGGGAAGTATAAAGCACATGATAATGTCCCTGCTGTTTATAGAGAAGAAATGTGTTGAGACAAATATTGTCTGCATGTCAAGTCCATCCATAACAAGTAGGATTAATCTTTCCCTCAGATTCATTATTGCTTCAAACTCTCTCTACTAATGCTGAGTTTTTCTCTCTGGACATGTTTAAAATATACTGACTACTGTCCTTGGGCACTCATCACAGCTTAAGCCTCAGCAACACCTACATCCAGGTGATATTAATGGTAAATGATAAGGAGAAAAACACTGGACACATTAAACTGAGGCTCCTAAAGATAAAAGCCATTCAAACGGAACAAAAAAATTAAAACTAAAAAAAAACCAAACAAAGCTTTTTCTAAGGTGGGGGCCTCCCACCTTAGAAATGGTTGGGGAGGGCAAACCATTCCAAGCTCAAAAGGATTTTTTTTTTGAGATGGAGTCTCACTCTGTTGTCCAGCCAGAATACAGTGGCATGATCTCGGCTCACTGTAGTCTCTTCCACCTGGGTTGAAGCAATTCTCCTGCCTCGGCCTCCTGAGTAGCTGGGATTACAGGCACCTGCCACCACACCAGTTAATTTTTGTAGCTTTAGTAGAGACAGGGTTTCACCATCTTGGCCAGGCTGGTCTTGAAATCCTGACCTCATGATCCACCTGCCTTGGCCTCCAAAAGTACTGAAATTACAGGCGTAAGCCAGCACGCCTGGCCTCAAAAGCATTTTTATCTGTGTCATTTTTTCATGCAGTTTAAAATGCTATTTTAAGTGTATACAAGGCATGATTTATGTCTCTTTCCTAAAGACTGCTGTACTGTGTCTGGATTTCCTTCTATACCAATAAAAGCTATCCTGGGAAAAATTAAATCCATTTCCAAGTTGGTACAGTAATCCCAACTTCCTTTATTTTCTTGAGAAGGAGTCTTGCTCTGTCACCCAGGCTGGAGTGCAGAGGCACAATCTCGGCGCACTGCAACCTTCACATCCCTGGTTCAAGCGATTCTCCTGTCTCAGTCTCCTGAGTAGCTGGAACTACAGGCACACACCACCATGCTTGGCTAATTTTGTATTTTTAGTAGAGACAGGGTTTCACCATGTTGACCAGGCCAGTCTCGAACTCATGACCTCAAGTTACCATCTGCCTCAGCCTCCAAAAGTGCCGAGGTTACAGGTGTGAGCCACTGAACCGGGCCTCCAACCTTCATTTAATAAACACATAACAGAAACAAACTGTTTGGATAACCACAACTGAGAATAGTAACTTCAAATATTTACAAAACATAGTCTCTTGCTACCTAGATTAATGATGATCTGTTAAGACAGCAAGGGGCCTGCTTTCAGGTCTTTTGTAATTTTACAAAAGGCCTCTGCACTCCAGCCTGGGTGACAGAGCAAGACTCCTTCTCAAGAAAATAAAGGAAGTTGGGATTACTGTACCAACTTGGAAATGGATTACAAAATTACAAAATTTAAGTACCAACCATACTTCAAGTCATATGAACCACACTTCATTTAATGTGTGGCACATAAAAAAAGCATTTAAAAATATCTATGAGAAAAAAAATTGGCTGAGCATGGTGGTTCACGCCTATAATCCCATCACTTTGGGAGGCAGAGGTAGGTGGATCACTTGAGGTTGGGAGTTTGTGACCAACTTGGCCAACATGGTAAAACCCCATCTCTACCAAACATACAAAAATTGGCCTTAATTAGCCAGGCATGGTGGCACACGCCTGCAGTCGCAGCTACTCGGAAGGCTAAGGCAGGAGAATCACTTGAACACAGGAGGCGGAGGTTGCAGTGAGCCTAGATCATGCCACTGCACTACAGCCTGGGTGACAGAGCGAGCCTCTATCTCGAAAGAAAAAAAAAAATTAGCTGGGCATGGTAACGGGCACCTGTGGTCCCAGCTACTTGGGAGGCTGAGGCGGGAGAATCACTTGAACTGGGAGGTGGAGGTTGCAGTGAGCTGAGATCATGCCACTGCACTCCAACCTGGGTGACTGGACAGAGTAAGACTCCATAGGTCATTCACAAGCCAAAAATACTTTAAAATTTTTTTGATTTACAAAGGTTTCCATTTGAATTTAACTTCCAAAAAGAAAACGACACAGACAGAAACTATAAAACTAGATATAGACTATTTAAACACTACAGAATTAACTTCTTAGCCTTAATGGGTAAGTATAGGGGACTTTTCGTCTACCATCTTAGGTTCAGTAACTGGGGCCTGTGAAACAAACAGACAACAGATTAACAAGAAAAGATTTAATTTGAATGCATACAAAGGCTTCAGAGAAAAACATAAAAACCCAAAGAGGCGGTTAAACTTGGGAGCTTAGAAACCATTTTAACAAAGGAAACTAAAATACAGTGACTACACAAAGGAAAAAAGACCTGGACTTCTAAAGGCGGTAAATTGTGGGAAGGTAAACACATGGGTGAAACTAATGAAAGATAAGGGTTATTTTAGCAAGGCTTATTTATGCAGAATCAAGCTGGTAGCATCTCCAGTGATAAGTTTTCTCTGGTGATTCAAAATCTTTCTTTTCTTTCTGGAATGGGAAAGGGGAGGGGTGACCTTCACAAAAGGAAATGTATGCCCTGCTTTTAGGCATATGGGGGGAGGGTAAAGAGCTCTTTTTGCATCTGCTGTTTCTCAGTTGCCTTCAGCTCAAAATAATCCTTAAGCATAAGTGATATATTTGGGGATAGCATATTCTGATCCCCTTCATGCTCATGTAGAGAAGGGAAAAAGAGAGAGGAGCCATGACAACCAGCTATGATCTGAAAGAAAGGAACATCCAGTGTAACTCACTGGGATTCCATGCAGAAAGTCAGTCCATCCTGCCATCTATACAACTCAGCTTACTCTGAGTCCTGGAAATCTAACCCATCACAGTGTAAGGCCAGCCGCAGTGGTTCACACCTGTAATCCCAGCACTTTGGGAGGCCGAGAAGGGAGGATCTCCTGATACTGGGAGTTCGAGACCAGCCTGATCAACATGGAGAAACCCCATTTCTACTAAAAATATAAAATTAGCCAAGCATGGTGGTGCATGCCTGTAATCCCATCTACTCAGGAGGCTGAGGCAGAAGAATCATTTGAAACCTGAAGGAGGAGGTTGCGGTGAGCCGAGATTGCACCATTGCCCTCCAGCCTGGGCAACAAGAGCAAAATACTGTCTCAAAAAAAAGGGGGCGGGGGTTTGCCATGTTGGTCAGGCTGGTCTCGAACTCTTGACCTCAGGTGATCCATCCGCCTCAGCTTTCCAAGTGGCTGGGATTATAGGCCTGAGCTACCATGCCCAGCCAAGAGTATTTTTTTAAAAAATAAATAGTTCTGGCCAGGCGCGGTGGGCCTTTTATAAGTGGGAGGAGCTAGCCGGGCGCGGTGGCTCAAGCCTGTAATCCCAGCACTTTGGGAGGCCGAGGCGGGTGGATCACAAGGTCAAGAGATCGAGACCATCCTGGTCAACATGGTGAAACCCCGTCTCTACTAAAACTACAAAAAATTAGCTGGGCATGGTGGCACGTGCCTGTAATCCCAGCTACTTAGGAGGCTGAGGCAGGAGAATTGCCTGAACCCAGGAGGCGGAGGTTGCGGTGAGCCGAGATCGCGCCATTGCACTCCAGCCTGGGTAACAAGAGCGAAACTCCGTCCCAAAAAAAAAAAAAAAAAAAAAAAAAAAAAAAAAAAAATTAGCTGGGCATGGTGGCGCGTGCCTGTAATCCCAGCTACTCAGGAGGCTGAGGCAGGAGAATTGCCTGAACCCAGGAGGCGGAGGTTGCGGTGAGCCGAGATCGCGCCATTGCACTCCAGCCTGGGTAACAAGAGCGAAACTCCGTCCCAAAAAAAAAAAAAAAAAATTAAATGTCAAATCTCTCAAATCAGATTAAATGAATGAATTAACAGAATATTAGAAGTAACCACAAAAGGAAAGAAAGCTAGATTGTCTCTGCTTTATAACTGTGTGTGGGCTGAGAAGCTGAATGTTTTGGTCACTGTAAGCCAAAAAAAAGCTAGTTTAAAAGTGAAACACAAGAGGTAACCTGAAGGATATCAATGATTAGGACACACAAAACAAATAGCTTGAAAGAGACCAGCAAAACCAAGCTCAACAATAAGCAGGTCCTTATATGTTTTTTTCTATATACCAAGCACTATGCCAAGGCTTTATATATATTAACCCATATAAACTATTGCAAATAACTTATGGCCTTGCTTCCTAACCAAACTTATCCTGGTTTTTTAAAAATGCACTGCTTTTACAGAGTTCCTGGTAAGCTCCCAGATTCTAAACTGAAAGTAAACTATATACTCTATAAACTATTTAATACATACTCCATGAATCCCGAATATATCAGTGTCACTGATTTGCAACCTCTTCACTATTTCAAGAGTTTATTGTTTCTTGATGGTTTACCTCATCACACCATAACAGTTATTTTAAGAGTTGAAGCAACTACAATCAACGATGACATGACTAGGTATCATTAAAATAGGAATCAAAATCATTGATCTATTTGGCTGAATCTGTCTTTGCATTCTAATATGCTATTTTAATCAATACTTTAACAGTATTACTAGTATTCTTAGTATAAAATTAAACAGAAACACTGTGAAAAATAGTTACCTGAATTTGAATCTGGAAAAGACAAATAGCAAATATTGGTTTTCTGAAAAAGAAAACAAAAGCTATGTATGTTGACACACACATAACCAATGAAAACAAACAGAAATATAACAGTAAACTATATAGAGCAGTACTTTTACTTACTTCTTTGTCAGTAAGTTTGGAATGCTGAGGATAAATTACCTGGAAGAAAAGAGTTAAATTTTATTAAACATATTATAATAAACATTAGTTATAAACATATTATAGGCCGGGTGCAGTGGCTTGCACTTGTAATCTCAGCACTGTGGGAGGCCGAGGCAGGCGGATCACTTGAGATCAGGTGTTCAAGACCAGACTAGCCACCATGGTGAAACCCTGTCTCTACTAAAAATATAAAAATTAGCCAGGCATGGTAGCCCATGCCTGTAGTCTCAGCTACTTAGGAGGCTGAGGTGCGGGGATCACTTGAACCCAGGAGATGGAGGTTGTAGTGAGCCAAGATTGCGCCACTGCACTCCAGTTTGGGTGACAGATAAGACTCTGTCTCAAAAAAAGAGTGTGTGTGTATATATATATACATATATAATAAACATTAATCTAAATAGTAGTTGGATATGGTCAAATCACTTTCAGAAAGAGTTCACAGATGCATGGATAAAGAAAATGCAGTAAATATAAATAATGGGATATTATTCAGCCATTAAAAAAATGAAATCCAGGCCGGGCTTGGTGGCTCATGCCTGTAATCCCAGCACTTTGGGAGACCAAGGCGGGTAAATCACAAGGTTAGGAGTTCAAGACCAGCCTGACCAACATAGTGAAATCCCATCTCTACTAAAAGTATAAAAATTAGCTGGGCATGGGGACATGCACCTGTAATCCCAGCTACTTAGGAGGCTGAGGCAGGAGAACTGCTTGAACCTAGGAGGTAGAGGTTGCAGTGAGCTGAAATCGTGCCACTGCAATCCAGCCTGGGCAACAAAGTGAGATTCTGTCTCAAAAA